ATCCTAAGACCAAGTTTGACGTTTCTAAGGGATGAAGCGGTCCTGAATGTCAGATGTTAAGCCTATATTAGTTAGTTAGTTAGTTTGTTAGTTAGTAGTTTTAGTTAGTTAGTTAGTTAGTTAGTTAGTATTAGTTAGTTAGTTAGTTAGTTAGTTAGTTAGTTAGTTAGTAGTTTTCGTTAGTTAGTTAGTTCGTTAGTAGTTCGTTAGTTAGTTTAGTTCTTCGTTAGTTAGTTTCGTTAGTTAGTTAGTTGTTAGTTCGTTAGTTGTTCGTTAGTTCGTTAGTTCGTTCGTTGTTCGTCGTTAGTTAGTTCGTTCGTTCGTTCGTTGTTCGTTCGTTCGTTCTTTTCGTTCGTTCGTTTCTTTTTTGTTAGTTCGTTCGTTAGTTCGTTCGTTAGTTAGTTCGTTCGTTCGTTCGTTCTTTCGTTCGTTTCGTTCTTCGTTCGTTCGTTTCGTTCGTTCGTTCGTTCGTCGTTAGTTTCGTTCGTTCGTTCGTTCTTCGTTCGTTTCGTTTAGTTCGTTCGTTTTTCGTTTCGTTCGTTGTTCGTTCGTTCGTTCGTTCGTTCGTTCGTTTGTTCGTTCGTTCGTTCTTTCGTTTTCGTTCGTTCGTTCTCGTTCTTAGTCGTTCGTTCGTTCGTTTCGTTCGTTCGTTCGTTCGTTCGTTTGTTCGTTCGTTCGTTCGTTCGTTCGTTCGTTCGTTCGTTCGTTCGTTCGTTCGTTCGTTCGTTCGTCGTTCGTTCGTTTCGTTCGTTCGTTCGTTCGTTCGTTCGTTCGTTCGTTCGTTCGTTTTGTTCGTTCGTTCGTTCGTTCGTTCGTTCGTTTTCGTTCGTTCGTTCGTTCGTTCGTTTCGTTTCGTTCGTTGTTCGTTCGTTCTTTCGTTCGTTCGTTCGTTCGTTCGTTCGTTCGTTCGTTCGTTCGTTCGTTCGTTCGTTCGTCGTTCGTTCGTTCGTTCGTTCGTTCGTTGTTCGTTCGTTCGTTCGTTCGTTCTTCGTTCGTTCGTTCGTTTTTCGTTCGTTCGTTCGTTCGTCTTCGTTCGTTCGTTCGTTCGTTTTCGTTCGTTCGTTCGTCGTTCGTTCGTTCGTTCTTCGTTCTTCGTTCGTTTTCGTTCGTTTTCGTTCGTTCTTCGTTTGTTCGTTCGTTCGTTCGTTCGTTCGTTTTTCGTCGTTCGTTCGTTCTTTCGTTCGTTCGTTCGTTCGTTCGTTCGTTCGTTCGTTCGTTCGTTCGTTCGTCGTTCGTTCGTCGTTCGTTCGTTCGTTCGTTCGTTCGTTCGTTCGTTCGTTCGTTCGTTCGTTCGTTCGTTCGTTCGTTCGTTCGTTCGTTCGTTCGTTCGTTTTCGTTCGTTCGTTCGTTCGTTCGTCGTTCGTTCGTTTCGTTCGTTCGTTCGTTCGTTCGTTCGTTCGTTCGTTCGTTCGTTTCGTTCGTTCGTTCGTTTCGTTTTCTTTCGTTGTTCGTTCGTTCTTTCGTTTCGTTCGTTCGTTCGTTCGTTTCGTTCGTTCGTTCGTTCGTTCGTTCGTTCGTTCGTCGTTCGTTCGTTGTTCGTTCGTTCGTTCGTTTCGTTTTCGTTCGTTCGTTCGTTCGTTTCGTTTTCGTTCGTTCGTTCGTTCGTTCGTTCGTTCGTTCGTTCGTTCGTCGTTCGTTTTTCGTTCGTTCGTTCGTTCGTTCTGTAGTTTTCGTTCGTTCGTTTAGTTAGTTAGTTAGTTCGTTAGTTATTCGTTAGTTAGTTAGTTAGTTAGTTTTCGTTAGTTAGTCGTTAGTTAGTTAGTTTAGTTAGTTAGTTTGTAGTTAGTTAGTTCGTTTGTTCGTTATTAGTTAGTTAGTTGTTCGTTAGTTCTTTAGTTCGTTCGTTCTTTAGTTAGTTAGTTCTTAGTTCGTTCGTTCGTTAGTTCGTTTAGTTAGTTAGTTTCGTTCGTTATTGTTTCGTTCGTTCGTTAGTTAGTTCGTTAGTAGTTAGTTTTAGTTAGTTTTCTTTTAGTTCGTTAGTTAGTTAGTTAGTTAGTTGTTCGTTAGTTAGTTTCAGTTCTATGTAGTGCCCTGGCATAGTCTAACAAAAATTTTTAAACCGAGTCAGGAATTTTGAAATATTAATACATAATGCTTTTATATATTCTACTATGACTGCATCTTTCACTTTATAGCAACAAGAAAAAAAAACACATTTTTAAAAACTTAAAAATAAATTATATGATGCAAACTTAAAAAAGAAACACCAAAAAACTTTATTTTTTCTTAAAATCTACAATGAGACAGTTTTATGAGGGCCATTAAAACAAAATACGAATAAGTTGTAGAAGGAAATGTTGCAAGGCAGCCAGCTAGTTGTAGTAGAGTAGTAAAGTAGCAAAAAAAAGCAACAAAACAATATTGAAAAAATGTGCGCAAAAAAAAAACGAGATACAAAAATTCAATGCACGATTTTTGCATGCAGACCATGACCCACACCAACTTTTGGCTAAAACAAAAATAATACGAACAAAAAACAAAATAAAATAAAAAATGTGTG